GAAAGACAATAGGGCCCTGCGCCTTACTGGCTTGGGCCCTAATAAGAATAAGAATAATCCTAAGAAAAACAATAGGGCCCTCAGCTTACTGGCTTGGGCCCTAATAATAAACGGAGCAGATACAAGAGGGTCCTTGCACCACCGGTGCTCGGGCCCTAATAATAATAAACGGAGCAGATACAAGAGGGTCCTTGCACCACCGGTGCTCGGGCCCTAATAAACGGAGCAGATACAAGATGGTCCTCGCACCACCTGTGCTCGGGACCTAATAATGATCCTTAGAAAAACAATAGGCCCCTGCGCCTTAGTGGCTTGGGCCGAAAGGGCCCTTGCACCCGGGCTCACTGCCACCTGGTGGCTATAAGAAAATAGCGAATGGTGGGCAATATGGTTTTAAAGTGGTAAATATAGGAGGAGTATGTCAAAGTCATTTACATGTGATAAACTTTCTGCTTTTTTTTTCTGCCAGCTGGTGGTGGTATGATAACTGAATATTGACATGTAGATGTCTTAATGCCAGGAGTTTTATCAAATTTGTTTAGTTTGGTGTAGATTGAACAGTGCATGTTTAAGTTAGTGTAAAACAAGTCATTTATTGTTGCCAGCAGGTGGCGCTATGATTGACTGAATATTGGCCTTTAGATGTGTTCAAGCCAGTAGTTTTATCAAATGTGTGAAGTTTGGGGTAAGTTGGATATTGTATGGTAAAGTGAATAAAGTGATAAAAAAGTTTATATAACGTATATAACTGTGTAAAAAAAAACAATTGGATGATTTTATTGTTTCCTTATGCTAGTGTTATTTACAGTTTAAAATCTGTTTAAAATGTTATTGTTGATTTTATTTATTATGTTGTAGCATTTTTTACCTGACAAATTTGTAAAAATATATTTATTTTTGGGTATTTCGCAAGGTCTGTTACTGAAATAGTATCACCTAATTGAGGGATGTTAATCCTCTACACTGAGAAGTAAAAATATATTTTTTTAGAGGCAGAGATATAAAGAATCTCCTGATTCCCCAGACTTCTTGAATGTTATGTATCATAAGGTAAGTGTAATTTAGTCGTTTCTTTGAAAAGGTCATAGATTAGTTTATTGTATAATGTCATGTATAAATATGGTTGGAAATGTGCATACAATTTCTCAGTTTTTGGTGGGAGGGTGGGGGAATGCAGCATTCCTAGTTAAAGTTTTGGTCACTTAGAGGTATTCAAGTTGGGATTGTTATGAAGTGTTATTTTTGGGTCAATTGTGTGATAGTGGAACAGCAAATGTTGTAAGGTTGTTTTGGATAGGTATCAAATTAAATGGCAAGATCTTTGTCATGTAATACTGGAAAGTACTGTAGATTATACAGTAAATATGTAGGTGAAGTACATTCAAGTTGAAAAACCAGTAAGCAGTGATAGAATATTTGGAAAGTATACATAATGAATTATCTGGTAAGTAGAATAAACTGTATTGTTTTTAAGAAGTGTGAAGTTTAAGAAGTGAATATCTATGACTATATATAGAAGTGTAACTTAATCTAAAGCAAAGATAAATGTAGAAGACATATTTGGTGACTGTTGCAAGTGTATTATAGGTATGTATGTTGTAACAGGAAATGTGTAGTATGCGAAGTATCATTGTATATCAAAAGTATGTTATATAAGTATGTCTGGATATGCAATGTATATGTGGTGTTTACAAAAGGAAATGCCAAAGATATAATGATGAAGTGATAATGAAAATGAATTTATTTGTTGGTGTTATGTGTGTAGTAAAGAGAAAGGTGAAGTGCAAGAATAAGTTACATGGTTTATTATAAAGAGAAAGGTACTTTATTGTTTCAGAAAAAGATAACATGTAGTGGATATTCATGGGAACAAGTTTGGTGTAAATTTTTTTTAAAGATACTTAAAGTTGGAAAGTGGCAAAAATGCCAGAGGAACTGCTGAAAGTATGTAAAAAGTTTGTTTTCCTTGCTGATTAAGGTGGAGTCCATCATGTTTGTATAGGTAGTGGACAATCTTTCCATGTTTGAGGAAAGGTTTTGTTGTGTTCAGAAAGATGATGTTGTCTGTTTGCATAGTCCAGTGGTGTAGCATGGCGTTGTATTGTTTCACAGTTGTTTTTTTTGTTGAGTCATCTGTAAGTCGTGGCAAGACAGCACTAATTGCAAAATACAGAATGTGAGGAGTTGCTTGAGAGATTGAAGTTATTAGTGCTTTCATTCGTTGGATGATCAGCGATGGAGATGCTCCACTTTCAATATCATTTGTTCCGATGTGGAGTAGTACCACTGCATTGTTGTGTATTGTCTCAAAGTGGTATATGTGCTGTTTAGTAGATCTCTCAAGAGTAGTGCCTGGGTGTACCCAGCATTTTGCAGCTGGTAGGTAGTCCTCAATTCCTCGATACATGGAGTCTGTTAACAAGCAGACTTGCAGTCCTGTAGGAGAGAAGAAAAAAAATGTTTTCTAACATGTATAACGAAGCTGAAAACTATTGGGTGTGAACACGAAAAAATATTTAGGAGCACCAGTGCAACTGACCCGATCAGCATATTTGTGTTTGCGCATGAGGAATTTCAATGGTTTCTACTTACAACGTGTTTTTGCAGCATTGAGTAATGTATCAGACCTGTTGATTCCTTGAACGTAATGTCAATCAGAATTCAATCACTGCTCAAAACATTGTTTTGTTCAGTGCTGAGTTATGCAAGCTCATGAATCTCCTCTTATGATAACAAAGACACGATGTAAATAAGAGATTCACTGGAGTTTGTAAATATGATATTGATTTAATACAATAAACTTCAAGGTCAATAAAGAAGACTTTAATATTTAGTGAGTGATATTGTTTGACTACAACACTATTGTCTGATTTTGTTCTATTTCGTCAACAAAAATTGTTTGAAACAAAGTCATAGCTAAGCTGCAGTGCATCTCTAAGCAAACACAGCGATGTTTCGTTTATGAATGAACGTGAGTTTTTAAATGAATCTAGTGAATTAATGATTCAACTACCCGTTCATAAAGACAGTAACTTGCTTTGTTCCTGAATGAATCAGTCGTTTGAACGAATCAATTGAATGAATGATTCAGTAATAAAACAGTGACTTTTCATTTTTAAAGTATTAAGTTATTTAAATCTTTTAATATTTTTATATTCAAATTTTTATATTTAAAATATGAATCTCAACATGGATTTATGAATTTAATTGCACTCATACCACCACTGAGCCTCATTAAATGTCTGTAAATATACCTGTAAGCCACTTTTGTGTTCTTCTGTGCCATGCACGTCTGTGCAAATGAATTTTGTTAATACTAATTGTTTTTGATCAGTAGTTAAAACAATTTTTTAGCCTAATTATAGCCTCACATTATAGCCTAACTTATTCTTATTCTGTTGTTTTAATTAGAAAATTTGAAAAAAGCTAATAAATATATACTTTTGAATTTGACACAAGATGACATACTTTCAATAATATGCCATTAGGAAGTTTTAAAAATGCTCCTGTAAATGACTTTAAGGAGTCAAATATTATCTTGTAATGGGAAGGCTAATTTTTGTTATTGATCAGAAGGTGCTCCTGATTTTTTTATAATAATAAAAAAATAATTAAAATAAAAGTAAGAGTAGAGCCTTGATGTTACTAGTGCAAATATTTATTGCTTACCTTGGGGTACGTGGAAAGTTCTTTTGTTCATTGTAGATGTTATTGCCGTTTCTTCTATAGAGAGACAGAGAAGGTTATATGAGTGGAACAGTATGTATATTTTCAGAGAGGCTGTATGAAATGTGGTATTGTTATGTTAAGTTACCTTGTTGTTCCATAGTTGCCTTTAGGATGCATCAGAAGAAGCATGAGCGGTGAGAAACGTAACCTTTAGATAAATCTATGTACGGTTGGCTTTTAGACGTTAAAGTAGGAGTCAACAGTAAGGGGTGGAGTTAAAGGGTCATTACCCCCTATTTCAGCATTGATTAGTTCTCACCACAGTTTTAAAAAACGCTAAAGAAAGTGGGCGTGGTGCGCTGCGGAGCAGAGGGGGAAGCGGGGAGACAGACAACACGGACAGCTTCGGGTTCAGACAGTTTCATTTCGCTCCCATCCAGTTAAAAATACAAATAAATGCACAGCCACTTGAATTGTCAATGTCATTTGCACTGTCAAATCGGGACAAATTTACAGTTACTCCTTTGAAAAAAAAAAGCCTTTTGAAGAATTAGTTTACTTTAAAATTAAAATTAGTCTATGATTTACTCATCATAGCCATGTGATACATGATATATAAAATTGCGACCCGCCCAAGAAGATAAAATCGCCAGTGTGGGTATTTTACTGGATATACGATTAAAAATAGATGTGTGCGAATTGGAAATTGTATTTAGGAGCATGGGTGAGTAAATGGTAGCTTATAAGAAATGTTTTAATTGAGTGATGTAAAAACATAGATACAGACTAATATGTTTACTGAACTTTAAAAGGATGACGATTTAATTTAAATAACGTAAGACAGTAAATGCAAGACAGTAGAGGGCGCTGATTGAACTCAACAATTAATCCGTTACCCCGGTAACCACGTAAACAAAGCAGCTGCTGCTTTCTGAACAGTTTGTAAATGTTTCAAATAGTCATTTAGATTTTTATATTTGCTTTATATTCGCTTTGGTGTTGTGCACAGCACAAATAGTTAACACTGAATCTATATTTCAGATTTTAAATTTGAATAATATTACAGTTATTCAGTGTAATGTGTTAGCTATATAATACTGCTTTTATTCATACAGTATAGTCATCACTGTAAATATTTGTAACAATTTTTGTAGCATGTAGTTTTAGTCAAGATAATTTATATGTTGGTGAATGCTTGCATAATGCCATAGAATTTGCGGTGTTTAAAAGAAATGTCATCTATTTTTTCAGATAATTATATAGGGAGGGAATGATTTGTGAAAAGTACCCCTGCTGAAAAAAACAGCTTAAACCAGCCTATGCTGGTTGGCTTGTTTTAGCTGGTTTAAGCTGGAAATAGCTGGTTTTAGCTGGTCTCCCAGCCTGGCCAGGCTGGTCAAGCTGGTCTCCGAACCTGGCCAAGCTGGTGTCTATGGCTTCGTTTACACTTGGCATTAACATGCAGATCGAGCAGATCGGATCATCAGTCAATCAGAACACGGTGCGTTTACACTTGGCGTCATCAACTGACTTTTCTATCTGGATAACCGATCGGGTCTTTCCCACAATATTTAAAGAAGTCTGCAGAGAATTGCCTGGTGCAAAGTCAACCTGAAATGGTGGGTTTTCTTTTGAAAAGCATTTTCAGTCGCGGGACATTTTACAAATCAAAGATAAGTGTAGGAGTCTCCCTAGCGCTCCACACCATTGTTCTCCGTCTTTTTTCTGACAGTTCGCGAGAGAGTGATGTCGACCTGCGAATGCAGAAACGATGGCTGGATTGCGTTTACATTACACTGAGATCCGATCACAATGCGTCCTCGACTACCTCTGGACCAGGACACGCTGATCGGATAACATTCCAATCAGAAGTGCGTTTACACTTGTCTTTTCAATGTGTATGTGGACAACATCCGGATACAGGTCGCATGTTAATGCCAAGTGTAAAGGCAGCCTATTTTACCTAATTACAAATTAATCAGATTGTTCCACTTACTGACAAGGTTAAATTCAAGGGTAGTTTAGTATCATAGTCAAGCAGGTTAATGATATAATATATCTGAGAGGAGTCTAAAACAAAATTATAAAACTGGTTTCACAAATAAATTATAGCATAAATTTGTGGCATGCCCTGCCTCAAATCAGATTAAATTATTGTCTGAAGAAATACATTCACCATAGTTGTATGACCAAATATAATCAGGTGTTTTATTTTTAACAAGTGTTTGGGTTTTGAATAGACTTGTACACAAAATACAAATGAAACAAACACAGTATTTATGTAATAAATAACAATTTTAGTGTCATCAGTAATTAAAAAATACTAGAAAAACATTTACAATATCTTTGACAAGAAATGCATAAAGTATAATCTGATACACAAGTTTATATTCATTTAATTCCCATTCAGACAAGGTACACATACATAAATATAACTTGTATAACTGGAATGTTTGAGTCATTGAGGACTGATTGATGACGTTTAGTATGTACAGATTATCATTTTCTTTGTTTTCTTTAACACTTTGTACTATTTTACATATACTTCAGTTATTTCCAAGGATGGCATTCTTTTAAAACTATAAACACAAGCACCAAAGCTACACAATGAATAGTGTGATTTTGAAGTCACACTAAAAAAAAAAGTAAAACAATTAAACACTACTTGATAAAGATAATGTAAACTCACATTTGTTTTTCATTAACATATTTTCTCTGTTCTGACAATTTTACAGTTAAGGCAAAATGTGTGGACTCCTGGCAAATTTCCAGGCTTAAGTAATCACAAGTCAACTACCTCCATTGTTCAAAACTAGGTTTCCCACTTACTGTTAAATACAATTCTCAAAAGCATGGCTGACGGTATAGCAAAGATCTGAAAGTGTAGGTTGTGTTTGTTGGAGTGGGGGTTGGGGGTGAGTGAGGGGAGAGAACAGACTGACAGTCACATAGAAACACAGCATCACTACATGAAAAGAGCTGCACTGTGACACACCTACATCTACAATCCCCCCACCCTAGACTGCTACACACACACCGACTCTTCCTCATTGACACCCCCTCACCCAAACCTCCCACAGCCATACACCCACAACCCACATCCCACACACCCACTCTTGCCACCACACTTTCCTCACCCAACCCACACCCATACACCCTCCTATACCCTCTACACCCATCCACACCCCTACACACCCCTCACATCAACTACCTCTCACCCAAACCACTTCTCCCACATCAATATACCCACCTGTACCCTGCACTTACTCCCACACCCACCAGCAATGTGAAACCCACCCGTAACTCATACACTAACACCCACCCAGACACCCCTACACACACCCATACACTCAGTAACACCCCTACACCCACTGAGACATTCACTAGCACCCTCTACAGCCACCCAGACATTAACTAACACCTCTACTAACACCCCGTACACCCACCCACAAACTCTCTAATACCCCCTACACTGACCCATACACTCACTAACATCCCTACTAACACCCCGTACACCCACCCAAAAACTCACTAATACCCCCTACACTGA